GTTTTTTCCACCACACAAGCCCTTTGTATTCCTCACCCGCGCCCTCTCAAAATTATACCGTATCTCCCCCCCTCCTTTCCAGCTATATTAAAATAAAACATTCCAGATCCCAGATGGGGATGATGGGGGAGGGCTGGGCTTCGAATAGTGGAGAGAAATGAAAGGGGAGGCACTGGGGACTCGGGTTTGGGGTGAGTTTACTGGGAACCCGCAAAGATGTCTCGATGAGACTTGAGGGCGCGGCGCCCCCCCACGGCCCCCTCCCCTGGCTTCCTTTCCAGCAGCCCAGCGAAGCTCAATTGCATTTATTTATTTTTCCTGCAGCTACCCCCCTCCCCCAAGGCACACAGACACAATACCTCCTTTTTCTAACCCCCCTCTCCTCTCGGTCTTTGCTCTCGGCCGTCCCGGGGCGGAGCGGGAGCCCCGAGACCCGTGCGCCCAGCTTCAAGTGCGGACACAGCCCTGCGTTCCCCTCGGCTCGGGTTATTTTCGTTCCTTTCTTTCCTCCACCTCTTCCACCCCCCTCGCGACTCCAGCTTCCAAAAGAGGGCGGCCTAGAAACCAGCGAAGGAGGCTCCAGCAAGGGCAACTTGAAACTGTCCTCCAGAGGCTCAACTTTTTTTTCTTTCCCTCAAATTTATCCTGGAATTAAATTAGACACCCCCATTTCACTCTTGAAGCTTACCCCCCCTTTCTTTCTAAAAGCGGAGAAAAGAAAATGGAACGAATGGGCTCTAACTAGCTCGATTTTCCCCCGACAGTAAAGTTCCCTTAAAAAAATGGATTGAAAAAAAAAAATAGAACGAGCGGTGCGAAAACGCTGAGTCCGCAACGCGGGCGAAAGAGCGGGCTCCACTTGTTTTAATTAAAAAGCAATCGGCCCGTTCCTCGGCGAGGCAGGATCCTGCCCTTCAGCGCGGCTTTTCTTGGGTACGTAACGCCCAGGAGGGCGCGGGGCCTGCAGGGCTGCGGAGACAGGGTGCGGGGCCCCAGGGCGGCCGTTCCAGCCGGGTCTTCACTCCCCGCAGCCCCAGCCAGGTTAGCTGCGCCGCGGGCGGCCCTCGGCCACTGAACGCCGAGGATTTTGCTGAAAGCGCAAAATGAAAAGTACAAAGTCTGGGGGATCGAGGTTCCCCTTCCCCCCTCCTGGCCGCCGCGGCCAGACAAGCACTTTTTGGGTTTGGCTGCGGCTTCCTCTGAGCTCAACAGATTTTCACCCCCCCTCCTCTCCTTCCCGGTCTCGCCCTCCCCGGAGGGGGCGCGGTGGATGGAAGGCGAGAGAGGCCCCCAGCCAAGAGGTTTTTAATATTACACTTTAATAGGTTTCAGAAGGCCCCGTGGAGAAGTGCAAATAGGCTGAAATGTCACAATCGAGAGGGATTTAGTTCGCGCTCAACCGAGCTAATCCTTTTTTTGCTGATTTTTTTTGGGGGAGGGGAGTCCACGTCGAGAGGGGCTTTGGAGGGGCGCGCGGTCCAAAGCGCCGCAGTCTCGTCCGGAGCCGAGCAGTGGGGGGCGGGGGCGAGCCCGGTCCCCGTTTCTATAGGAACCCCTTTTAGAAGATTAGACTCACCGGCTGCCCGCCGCCGCGGCCTCTCCAAAATATTAATCAGCCAGTAAGCATCTGACCTCGCGGTTCCAGGAGGACCCGCAGGTTGGGGCTAGGCAAACGGCCTTCTCGCTCGCCCATCCCACCCGACCGCGCAGCTTGGGGGGCAGGGAATGAATCGTGGCTTTGTTTTAAAAGGATAAAAAAAAAAAAAAAAGGAGTGGAAAGCAACAAGCGGTGTTTGCTTTGGCGTCTCCACCGCGCGTTCTGGAAGGCGCGCCACGGGGGAAATGGGGGGCCAGGGCGCGGGTGCGGCCCGCCGAGCCCCAGGCCCTTCCCGGCTCGCTCGGCTTGTCACCTCCTCCTGTGAGCAGGAAGCTGACAGGCGGCCCATTAAACCGCGCCTTGCAAAGCCCTGGATTGCAGCGACATACCATCTTCCCCTATTTTGATCACTCAGCCCAGACGCTGGGGCAAAGAGGGGGGAGGACGAGGAGGAGGAGGAGGAAGAGGGACGGAGGGATAGAGGGGGGCTCGAGCTGGTGGTGGGGGAGGGCTGCCTAGAAACGGCTCGGAAAAATTCTCACCACCAGTTTGGATCATTCAGCCCCGCCGAGGGGAGCCTGGAAACCGCCGGAGCCCCTCAGTCCGTAATTGGTTTTATAGGGATGGCTGAGCGCCAAGGTGTTTACATGTGCGAGATTGGCGGCGCGCACGGCCAATGGGCGCGCGGCCGGGACGCGGGCGGGAGGGGCGGGCGCCCAGGAACAATGCGTGTTTCTTCGCCGGGAGCGCCCCTCCCCCGCCAGCCCCCCCCCCCGGCCCCCCCCCCCGGCGGGACGCGCCCCGCCGGCGAAGCCTCGCGCGCCCGTCCGCGGGACCCGCCACGCCGCTCGAGCGCTGGCTTTTTTTTTTTTTTTAGCTCCAGCGAGAGGAACTTGAAAGGGGGGTTGTGTAATGTACCTTTTCCAATCCCGGGCTGTATATGGAGATTTGGGATTCTTTAAACCGGCGCTACCTGGATTTTATTAAAAAGCGGGGAGCTCGGCAGGAGGAAAGCTGGCTTTTCCGGGGGCTGCGGGAGCCCGGCGGCGGGAGGGCGGAGGAGTTGGCGCGCCGAGCGCACGGCCCGGGGAGCGGTTTTCGACCAAAAAAAGGAAAGGCGGGCAAAAAGTGTGAGGCGGCCGCGGGGCGCGCAGGGGAGCGGCCACAGCATGGCGCGCAGCACGGGCGCC